AAGAAAAAAAACAGAAAAAAATTCTTGTTGACTCCTCAGTTTCCTTTTTATTAAACAAACAAACAGTCGCCTATGAAGTGCCTGTCAATGCTGTGTGAGTGTCATGTCACTGTTTTCCTTCTTTTATTTGGTAGTGTACAATTAAAGTAATAGCTGTTATGATGCCCCATGATATTGTATAGATGACCGACCCAGCACACTTGTGAACCCGGCCAGAAGGATCCTGGGTTCGTCTTCTTAGAAAGTTGATTACATAATCCATGGTACAGGGCCACTGCCAGGCGTCTGCGGCTCAACCGCAGAGGTGCAGCAGATCATATACAATGCTTGTCTGTCAAGTCTCTTCAGAGGGCGGCCGATCAGTAACAGATGTTTTCTAAATAGGCTGGGGTCTGGTTTTACGTCTGGCCTTCACATAGGTACTCGCTCAGTGGTCAAATTCGGTACCAGAACCGGTGAAGTGAGGCTTTGGTACTGTGGGCATGGATTCACTAGCCTACTGGAACCGCGCTAAGGCTTCGGTACTGCGGGAACCGCGCTAAGGCTTCGGTACTGCGGGAACCGCGCTAACCGAGGCTTCTGCGGGTACCCGATTCTGGACAATATCGATACCCGGAGCCGGTTCCCGGTTTTGGAACCGGGTAGAACCGGGTACCCGACGGAACCTCCCAAGCCTATTATTAAAAAAAAATTATAATAAATAATAAAAAAATTGATTAGACATTGATATCATATGCTGGGATAACCGGTAACACTGCTGGGCTTGGGAAACCCTTACAGTTGCTTGCAACTGGTTCCAGGCTACTGCAGAGTTTCCTCAATCATACTCTTGAGGCCATTGTGCCTCTCTGCTCCCATGGAGCTTTTATGAACACATTTACTGATTTTGCTTAGTGTTTTTTATGCACATATGAGTTGTGGGCGCAATTTCATCAGTTCCTTTGGTTTACCATACTTTGTACATCCTTCAGTCCCCTATTTAGCACCCTTTTATTTTGCTCTGTTATGAGCTTTTTATATGCTCTATTTAGGTGCTTTCTATGTGTGTTTTTTGGTTTCTGGCGTGACAAGACCTTTTTGTTTGGAGTGACGCATTGAAGATTTTCTGCAGAACAAAATGTCATGGTCATTTGACTATGGCCCAGGAGTCTTTCATGGAATTATGCTTTCAGGACGACGATATTCAGCATACACTGATAATACTGAAATAAACCTAATCAGCCTGCAAGAAAATGATTTTGTGGCAGATTACTGCTAGATTTTAAAAAAATGTATTTCAGGATGCCCTGGGAAGGTAAAGGCTGGATCAATTAGATCCATTAAATAATTAGCTAATGAATGTTAATTAGGGCAAATTGTACTTGTGAATCGTAAGTCCTAGAGCAATGGGACCAAGACTAAAGTAGACCTACCACTCTTCACATTAAACAATTTTTGTGCACATTCCAAAAAGTCACACCTTGAGATTATTTAGATAATCAGCTAGTTAGTCTTAACTGGATAAAATCCACTTTCATGTGTGGTGTTAGGTTTATTGAAGCAAGGATCAATTGCCCTGTAATTCCATCTCCCTTTAATTACATATATAACACTGCACAATCTGGGTCCATTTTAC